AGATAGATAGATAGATAGATAGATAGATAGATAGATAGATAGATAGAGATGGAAATAGAAGATAGAAGATAGATATTGTAGATCGGGGTCTTCAAACTTGGCAACTTTAAGACTTGTGGACTTCAACTCCCAGAATTCCTCCTCCAATCATGTTAGCTTAGGATTCCTGGGAGTTGAAGTCCACAAGTTTTAAACTTGCCAAGATTGGAGACCCTTGATATAGCTAGTCCTCCACTTACAGCGGTGTTTGTTTAGCAACCGATCACACTTCATGGTGAGTTTTGCCCCCCCCCCCTCCCGCCCCCATTTTACAATTTTTCTGGCTGCATTTCTTAAGTTAGCAACACGGTTCTTAAGAGAATCTCGCTTCCCCATTGACTTTGCTCGTCAAAAGATTGCAAAAATAACGATCACGCGATTGCTGGGCATTGCAACCGTCGTAAAGACGAGCCAGTTGCCAAATGTTCGAAGCTTGATCATGCCCCCTTTGTAGGTTGCAATGGTGGTAAGTGTGAAATAGGGTCGTGGATCACTTTTTCCAGTGCTGTTGTAACTTCCTACGGTCACTAATTGAATTGGTCGTAAGTCAAGGACATGGTCATAAGTGTGAAAAAGGGCCATAAGTCACTTTCTTCTGTGCCGTTGCAACTTCAAATGGTCACTAAATGAATTGGTTGTAAGTCGAGGAGCTGCTTGCATTTCCTTTTTCTTCCCTCTAAAGATCCTTTTTCTCTCTTAACGTCCAGGTCTCTGCCCTGTGAACCGCAACACCATAGACTACCTCCTGTCCCAAAACGGCACCGGCAACGCGGTCGTCATCGTGGTGGGAGGCGCTGCGGAGTCCTTGAATTGTGCCCCGGGGAAAAACTGTGTGACTCTGAAGCACCGGAAGGGGTTTGTGAAGCTGGCGTTAAGACATGGGTAAGGAGAACGAAGGGCCTCCATTTGTCTCCCCGGCTGGCAATGGTGGCATGGCCTTCCTTGTAGGCATGGAAGGCGGATGGGTGACTTTGGGCCAATCACCAGGAGACGGAGAATTCTAGTCCCGCCTTAGGTCTGAAAGGCAGATGGGTGACTTTGGGCCAATCAGCAGGAGACTGAGAGTTCCAGTCCCTCCTTAGGTCTGAAAGGCAGGTGGGTGACTTTGGGCCAATCACCAGGAGACTGAGAGTTCTAATCCCACTTTAGGCATGAAAGCCAGCTGGGTGATCTTGGGCCAGTCATTCTCTCTCAGCCCATCCTACCTCACAGGGTTGTTGTTGTGAGGAAAACAGGAGGAGGAAGGCTTGTCGAATATGTGCTCTTCCTAGAGTAATTTATAAAAATAACGGTGGGCTACAAATAATTTTTGCCCCTTGCTCCTGTGAAAGAATAGAATAGAATAGAATTATAGAACAGAATAGAATAGAATAGAATAGAATAGAATAGAATAGAATAGAACAGAATCAGGAATAGACTAGACTAGACTAGACTAGACTAGAAAAGAAAAAAAAGAAAAGAACAAGGAATAGAATGGAATAGAATCAGGAATAGAATAGAATAGAATTCAGGAATACAATAGAATAGAATTCAGGAATAGAATAGAATTGAATTGAATTCAGGAATAGAACAGAATAGAATCAGGAATAGAATAGAATCAAGAATAAATAGAAAAGAATAAGGGATAGAATAGATTAAGGGATAGAATAGAACAGAATAGAATATAGAATAGAATAGAATAGAATAGAATAGAATAGAATAGAATATAGAATAGAATAGGGACCTTGGAGGTCTTCTAGTCCAACCCCCTCCTTAGGCAGGAGACCCTACACCACTTCAGAGAAATGATTATCCAACTTCTTAAAAACTTCCAGTGTTGGAGCATTCACAGCTTCTGGAGAGGCCAGGCGTTCCACTGATTTCAACAGTGACTTCAACAGTGATTCAGCTGCTGTTTATTTGCAATTTTGACATTGGTTTCTATTTTCTTCTCCAGGGCCGATCTGGTCCCCATTTACTCCTTTGGGGAGAACGAAGTCTTCAAACAGGTCATTTTTGAAGAGGGCTCCTGGTGCAGGTGGCTACAGAAGAAATTGCAGAAGTATATTGGCGTAGCTCCGTGCGTCTTCCACGGACGGGGGCTCTTCTCCTCCAACAGCTGGGGGCTGGTGCCTTACGCCAGGCCCGTGACTACTGTCGGTAAGTGGGAAAAGAGAGATTCCTAGTGTCGAGAGAGGAGAATGTCTGTAGCTTGCGGTTGAACTGGGGGGGGGGGGGATCCTTGGTGCTCTCTGAGCTTGGTGGGTTTTTTGCGGACGTTTCATTACCCAACTAGGTAACATCATCAGTGCTAGAAGGGAGGTGGTTTTGTGGAGAAGAAGAAAGGGAGGAGGAGGAGGAGAAGGAGGAGGAAAACGACTGTGGGGTCCTTGGTGCTCTCTGAGCACAGTTGTTTTCTTGCAGACAATTTCATTACCATACTAGGTACTATAATCAGTATCAGGGAGGGAGGGTTATGGAGGAGGAGAAGGAGGAGGAAAAAGGGGAGAAGGATTAGGACTGTGGGGTCCTTGCTACTCTCTGAGCTTGGTTGTTTTCTTGCAGACATTTCATTACCAAACTAGGTAACATCATCAGTGCTAGTAGGCGATGGGGTTTGCTCATATTCTAGTGCAATTCTAGTAGATTGTAAACAGAGAGAAAACCCACTTTAGGGGCTAACCTATCTTTCCGTGTTCGGTCATGTCCCCTTCTCTCTTTTGCCTTCCAGTCGGCGAGCCCATCACAATCCCCAAAACCGACAATCCGAGCCAGAAGGAAATAGACTTTTATCACAGCCTGTATGTACAGTCTCTGGCGAAACTCTTTGAGAAGTACAAGACGAAATTTGGCCTGTCGGAGGCGGAGACGTTGGAGATCAACTGACGCGGCACCCGCGCGACGGCGCTTGTGGTCTTTCAATTTGCTGGTGGGCTTAGAAAAACTGGCGCCAAAAGAGGCTGTTTCTGCCAGTACCTATTGTTTTTGTCTTCTGCTCTGTGGAATTGGGGGATCGAGCAAGGATCTGTAGAGAAGATAAAGGAATATTGTCTAAATATCCAAAGATTAGATCTCTCTAAGAGCCGGTGTATGGTTGGGGAGAGCGCTGTCTTGCCCCATTAAATCCCCTCATCCCACCTCAATCTCCAAAGTCGGCCATTTGCTTTTTCCCTCTGCTGCTAATTTCAGGGATGCCCAGATTTTTCCCTGTTTGAGAACAGTGGGAAGGAAGCCAGCCCATCTGGCTACAGGCCATCATCATCTCTGCAAGAGAGGTCTTCCCTTGAATGGAGACCTTATCTGCTCCGTCGATGACTTGTGACGTGCCGCAGCTTCTTCTGAGAGGGAAAACGCAAGGAAATGGGGAAGAATGAGGAGCAATGGCCCTCCCAATATTTGTTTTCCAGAGAGTCTCTTTATTGTATGGTTTCCCTGCCATTTTGAAGCAGGAAATATGTTTAATACTCTACGTTAAGTATCCAGATAGCTTTAGTGTTTAGCCATTTTGGAAAGAAAGTCCTCCAAATACCTCCCTGCCCTATTCTCAGGAAATCAGAAGCTATAGCTTGTCCATTTATGTCATTTGCAACTCTTGGGCCCCTCAGAGGTCTAAATAGCCACCCATCCTTCCTGCTTTTAAAAGAAGCACATTGCTTCCCGTGAGGAGAATGGAGAACAATACTCGTTCCCTCCACAGGTCTTATGCCTACATACACCCTCTCCAACAACATGGAAAACTTCATTTAGTTTTATTTTGCACTTTTCACAGGAAAAAAAACAAACGAACTATTGGTCACAACCCAGTTTTGCCTCATTTTACAACCTCTCGCCAGATGTGAAGTGAAACCGCAGCCATTAAGTCAGTCACACGGTTGCAGGCAGGGGTGGGATTCAAATTTTTAACAACCGGTTCTGTGGGCATGGCTTAGGTGGTGGGTGTGGCTTGGTGGTCATGTGACTTGGGTGGACATGGCTTGGTAGTCATGTTGTTGGCTGGGTGTGGCCAACTCAATATCACTCACATCGAGGCATGCATCTCCTCACCTGGCCTCTCATGACTGTGGGGATGCTGCAACAGTCGTAAGTGTGAAAAAGGGTCATAAGCCACTTTTTTCAGTGCCATTGTAACTTTGAAGGGCCACTCCACACAAGCAAAGTACCAGCAAAGGAGGGGGAAAAAACTCCAGAGAAGTTCCTGAGACAGGAAGTCTAGTCCTGCCAAGAATGTAATAAGGGTTAAGGGAGAGGCAGTTTCTGTAAGCAACACCAGAATGTTTCCTTCCTGCCTTCCTTACAGGATTAGTAATTCTTTCTAACAACCGGTTCTCCGAACTGCTTAGAATGTTAACAACCAGTTCTAACGAATAGGTGCGAACGGGTAGAATCCCACCCCTGGTTGCAGGGTCGGTTGCTACCGGTTCACACCGGTTCGAGTGAACCGGGTGTTAATTTTACATTTGCTTTGCTCAACCGGTATTTGCAATGAAGGGCTGGCCCCACCCCTCTCAGGAGTCTCCACACGGCCCATTTTGGATCCCAGGTAAGTGCAGGGCTTGCGTGGAGGGGAGGGTGGAAAACGGGAGCCTCCAGAGCCCGGGGAGGCCGTTTTCGCTCTCCCGGAGACTCGAGGAAAGCCTCTGGAGCCCAGGAAGGGCGAAAATGACCCTTCCGCTTGGGTACCAGAGGCCAACTAGGCCACACCCACCCAGCAACCGGGCCAAGAACCGGTTGCTAAATTTTTTTGAAGCCCACCCCTGTAGGGTTGTGAAGGGAATCTGGCTTCCGCCATGGATTTTGCTCGTCAGAAGGTCGCAAAAAGGGGAATCACGTGATCCCCAGGATACTGCAATCGTCATAAATATGAGCCAGTTGCTAAAACGTCCGAATTTTGACCCAGGGGGATGATGCAATGGTCATAAGTGTAAAAAATAGCCATAGGTCACTTTCTTGCAGTGCCGTTGTATCTTCGAATGGTCACTAACTTAAAATGTTATAAGTTGAGGGCTACCTGTACTTTATTTATTTTTTAAGAAAAAAAAAGCGAAACTACTTCTTCCTCAAAATAATAAGTCCAGTTGCTTTTTCAAAAATTAAAAAAAAAAACCCACTCTTGATACAGCTATGACCTGGATGACTGAGAATCTTCGTAGACAATAGACAGTCCCCCTGTTAATCTGAATAAAAAGACTTTGGGAAAAGTTCAAAGAGCAACCAGGATGATTAGGGGACTGGAGGGGAGGGTGGAAAACGGGAGCCTCCAGAGCCCGGGGAGGCCGCTAAAATATACGATGAATGGTTGCTGGAACTGGGCCTGGCTAGTCTAGTAAAGAGAAGGACCAGGGGAGACAGGAGAACATCTTCTAATATTTGAGGAGCTGCCACAGAGAGGAGGAAGGGGTCAAGCTATTTTCTAAAGCACCTGAAGGCCAGACAAGGAATAATGGATGGAAACTGAACAAGGAGAGATTCAACCTGGAAATAAGGAGAAACTTTCTGACAGGGAGAACAATCAACCCATGGAACAGAAGTTGCCCTCAGAAGTTGTGGAGCTTCATCACGTGAGACTTTCAAGAAGAGACTGGACTGCCATCTGTCAGAAATGGTGTAGGGTCTCCCGCTTGGGCAGCGGGTTGGACTAGAAGACCTCCAAGTTCCCTTCCAGCCCTATCATTTCTATTCTGTTCTGTTCTATTTTATTCTACATATTCCATTCCATTCTATTCTTATTCCATTCCATTCTTATTCCATTGCATTCTTTGCTGTTCTGATTCTATCCTATCCCATCCTTTCTCCATCCCATTTTAGATTGATGTATATACACCAGTTGTCTGGTCTAATGTATTTCCTATTTCTAAATGTTTACATGTTGACTGAAGCTTTGTAGAGGAATATATTCAGAGCCAATCCTGCTGACATGTTAACATATGTTTGAATGTTTTGCACTATTGTATGTTTAACCCTTAGCCTTCAAGTATTTTAATTGCCAATAATGACTGAAGCTATAGATGTGCCTTTGTGTAGTGCAGGTTTTTCCCCCCCAAAGTTGGCCACTTTAAGGTGTCTGAGCTTCAAACCCCCAGAATTCCCCAGCCAGCATTTAAGTCTGGACATCTTAAAAGTCATGTTTGGGGGGAAAAAACTGGTGTAATGCAAAAACCCAGGGGCTTAATTAATAAGGTTCTTTGATCCTGACCACGCTACACATATATTCATTTAGAAAAATTAGACTGCTGCAGTCTGTAGTCATTTCATGGAGCAGACTGAACATAGGGGTTGGGTGGGAAGATTTTGTATAAATTTATAGAAATAAACATTAAACAAAAGTATACTTGTTTACTGCTTGTTATTTTCCTGGATTTGTTCTTGAGAAGTTTGGCCTATTAGCAACATTCTTTAGAGGGCAGAAAAATGAGAAACAATAAACCAAAGATAAGGAAAAGTAGGATGCCTAAATCAAGTTTACACCAACAGAATTTATTATACTGGTATCTCACCATAGTTTTTCATTCCTCTCTACTTCAACTATGTTGATATATCTCTTCATACGTTATTCTTTTAAGCATTTAAATTGTTTTGAGGCTATCATCAATACTACCCAACTACCACCTGCCTCATTTTACAATCTATTTTGCCACAGTTGTTAAGTGAACCATTGCAGTTAAGTTAGTAATGCACCTCTTCTGAAGATATCTCAACTTTTCCAGGGAAGGCAGTACATTAGATGCTCTGTCATTGTTGAAGGCATTAAAGAATCTGATAAGAATGTGGGAAGCCACCCTCCCTCATAGAAGAATGAAATATTTCGAGGAATATTTTAAAAAGAATATTAAAGGGAGAAATGAAGAAACATATTTTTTAGAGGCAGAAAGCAAACCCCACTTTCCTTAATAGCCCACAGCAGATGTCGGCACTTAAGAGATAAAGAGTTTATTGAAAACAAGATAGCTTTATTCATAGACAAAGCAAATACTGCAGGCAGAAATCCACTCAAGACAGGATATTTTGAAACAAAGGCAGAATGGTAGGATTAGAAGCAGCCATCACCCAAGATCCAGCCCAGGACAAAGCCATTAAGCTACAATAGGAATTATTGCATCACCCGCAGAGCAGTCCAAACTTCAACCAAACTTAGCTCATACCTAGGATTTTGTACTTTGCCTACAGAGCCAGCTATGACCCTTACATGACCCCATGGGATGCCAATAGAATGCATGTTCTTGCACAGGAACAGGAGGCTCTAGTGCAAAGCTTAAGAGAAGGTATAAAACCCCCTCTCAGCTCCCATTTTGTCAGCTGCACCAGAACCATGTGCTTGGTGGTTCTGTTCATCATTAAACTTTCTTTCCAATCAGCCTCCATGTCTTCCTCCCAGTTTGGAACTTGAACCAGATGGATATTTCTTCCCACAAGGGGATATCTTGTTGATGACCCCACTATGTCAAGGACCTTGGAGTACTCATCTCTAATCTAAATACCAGAGCCCACTGTAACTATATAGCCAAAAAGGCATTAAGAGTTATCAACCTAATCCTGCGTAGCTTTTTCTTCAGTAATATTGCACTACTAACTAGAGCATACAAAACCTTTGCTAGACCAATACTCAAATTGAGCTCATCAATCTGGAACCCGCACTGCATATCGGATATTAATACAGTCGAGGGAGTCCAGAGATATTTCATGAGAAGAGTCCTCCACTCCTCTACTTGCAACAGAATACCTTATGCCACCAGACTTGAAATTTTATTTATTTATTTTATTTATTTATTTGATTTGTCAATTGTTTACAAGATAATAAGTACAAGTGTATACATAGTTGTGAATATATGAAATGGGTACATATAAGAAAAATAAAAGAATAAGAGAAACAATAGGACAGGGACGGTAGGCACGTTGGTGCGCTTATGCACGCCCCCTACAGACCTCTTAGGAAAGGGGTGAGGTCAATAGTAGACAGTCTAAGGTTAAAGTTTTTGGGGTTTGGGGAAGAGACTACAGAGTCGGGTAGAGTATTCCAGACATTGACCACTCTATTGCTGAAGTCGTATTTCCTGCAATCAAGTTTGGTGCGGTTTACTTTGAGTTTGTATCTGTTGTGTGCTCTTGTGTTGTTATGGTTAAAGCTGAAGTATTCATTGACAGGTAGGACATTGCAATGTATGATTTTATATACCATGCTTAAGTCGGACCGAAGACGGCGTAATTCGAGGTTTTCTAGTTTTAGAATTTCGAGTCTGGTGGCGTAAGGTATTCTATAACGGGTAGAAGAGTGGAGAACTCTTCTTGTGAAATACTTCTGGACTTTCTCAATTGTGTTAATATCACATACGTGATAAGGATTCCAGACTGATGAACTGTATTCGAGTATTGGTCTAGCAAATGTTTTGTATGCTCTGGTTAGTAGTGAGATATTACCAGAGAAAAAGCAACGTAGGATTAGGTTAACAACTCTTAATGCCTTTTTGGCTATGTAGTTGCAGTGAGCTCTAGCACTTAGATCATTAGAGGTG